GCTGTGGCGTAGACGGTGATAATTTATGCAGTGCTACGTGTGAGCGGGTCAAATGGACGTAAACAATGCATCCTATTAGCATGGCGGTGAAGTTGTAAGCATGGCGGTGCCGCCATGCTTTGTTCTATGTGGGGAGAACACTGCAATTTAACAGTTTTAAATTCACGAACTTAGTGGCATTGCATTCTTTGTTATTTTACATGTTCTCATGGAATTAATTCAGCGGAATTTATGACTAAAATGGAAATTAAAAAGCAGTGAATAATGGATACTTTTATAAACATATTTTACATGTGTTGTATATTTCCCATAGGACCCATATCAATGACATGACATTTTGAGGGGAAAATCCATGGTTGATTTCGAGTTTCATTTTCACTTTCCACAGGCACAATAATTCTCATCATCTGAAATGCTACAACTTTCGTACAACTTAATGCACACTGAGGACACTTAGGTTTATTCATGTTTGACTATCCTTGTAAATTCTCAAATAACTTGTAATATTTAATTAAATTTAATTTAATGTGATGCAATGTTGATGCAAGGCCTTTTTGCCATGATAATCGCAATTTGTTTTATTCATTGTTGCGATTTTCTTTAACCGTTAATACGCATGCCTACGTAACATATCAAGATATTAGAGGTATTAAAAGTTTTAGCGAACAGACAGTGATTGCAATAAAAGCACCTCCAGAGACGAGGTTAGAAGTACCAGATCCTAGGGAGGTAAGTCTGTGTACAGTTGACGATTCTGGGAATATCCTCATTATTATCAAGATTCTGGTGTGGTCCCATCTCTCATACCCGGCTAACTTTCACCAAAAACGTTTTGATTTTTATCTTCAAAATGACCTTGGATCAGGTGTATTTGAATGCAAAATACAGGAAATGACAAAGAATGCTTGAGCGCCCCCCCCCCCCCCCCCCACAAAATCTTCACCTGGCTAAAAATGATGCCTAGAAGAATCTTTTCGGCTGCAAACTTTTTTTTGAAGCAGTGATAATCAGTAGTAGTTGCATTTCAGAAATGTTGATAAAGCCCTGTAGTTAATGGATATTTAATCCATTTGGTTTAAATTAATAAGGAAATTAATAAATGCGAATAAATGAGCAAATGGTTGCACAGACATACTCCTGAAAGTAATGATTTATAATGTTAATTTCACGGTGACATTGTTTTGCCAACAGAGTATTCAAATATGGCTAAAGAGCACCAAAGGACCAATAGAAGTTTATCTTTGCCCTGAAGAGGCCTGTGCCACAGAAAAAGACAATAATACAAGCAGTTGTGTTAGCAGTAGTTCAGAGACGGAGTCGCCAGTGTCATCGCCCAATAGTTTTAAAGGTGAGTGTGTTAAGTTTCCATTTGACTCCAAACTCTTGTTGAACATAAGCATCCAAGTCAGACGAGTATGGTTTATTAAAATTCCTCTGACAGACGGGAATATAAACACCATATTGCATTTGAGTCTTAAAATACAACCCATTTAAATCATAGATGCATATGTAAGCTACTAATTGAGCATATTCGTACATTCATTGGGCAATCCAAGACTTCTTTATTCTGGTGCTTGAAACATTTCAGTGATTTACAATGATTCGTTATCATTTTTCCAGGCGATCCACCACTGAAATTGGAATCTTTAGATGAAGATGACATGTCCACGTTGGAGAGAAATCTTCTCCTACAGACAGAAGACCAACACAGCAATGATGAAATAGACATGCCATTTGTGCAGTTATCACCACCAATTTTGGAAGACGATTACCCGTTTTCGTTAGCCGATCACGAGGGGCTAATGGATTTATTTGATGCCTATGATCTCTGGGGAGGTGGAGACAATGCAACCCCACCAACGACGGAAACGATACCCACACCGACGACGGCAACTACAATGCCAATAGTTACAAAAAATGTGTAAAATCTTGATGTACGTTTATAACAATTATTTTCAAAAGACATCTTTCACAAGACTGCGAATGTGAACTTTCTTCGTCATTGGAGTTTGTTTTCAGTGTGTACCTAGCTTTGGAAAAACCAACGTGAATGTGCGTCTGGTGTACCAGTCCGGCCTTGGGCTTTCTTAGAAAGCAATAATGGCGGCAGTCTCAAACCAATAGTTGGTTATCGTGATATTCAAGAGTTTTCAATCAACGATCGGCAGTTCAAGCAGTGTAGGAGATTTTGTGAGCTTCCAAGTAAATCACATTCGCAGTAAAATAGGTCGAGGACATATTTATACTGTGGAAATACACAACCAATGAGAAACAATTCTTACTATTGTGTCAGTTAAAGTGAAAAAAAAATATAAACAGGGTTATCCAAAAGTATTGTTGGGCTTTGCACTGAAAGATTACACAGGCTAACTTTTGTGTTGACAAATTTATTCCAATGCATTCAATCTTACGATTTCGTATTTATTTGCATTATATGCAAATTTAGCGTACTTCTGCTAAGTCAAAGATGCTGTACGTATTGATAAAAGTACTGTAAATCACAATTTTATGGCTTTCATGTGGATGAAATTTTGTGAAAGTCACTGACTCTCTAGTACCCTAGTGAAAGGCGCACCTTTCAATACCTTCCCCGACAATAATAATTTATCTGACAAAAATATAGCGCTTTACTGTTTTCTAAAGTAGAAACATTGCTTGATGTTTTATATTACCATTAAACGGTTAATGCAATATAAAGTACACTGTTGCAATCAAAATATAAAAAAAAATTGCAATATTTTTCATTATTTGAAGAAGCTGTAACTTTGTTTTGATCAGCTCGTCAAGTCACTTAAATACAATAGAATTTTGACATATTCAAGAGTATATTTGATGCCCTTTGAGATGTACAAATATGGCTTTATGCCTTAGACGTGTTGTAGTTTCTAATTCCTGTTTTTGGTTGCATTAACCAATCGGTTAAAGCCTGCTTAAATTCAAACTTGTACTGATCTGATTGGGTATTCAATTACTAACTTTGGTTTATAAATGCTTTCTCATGAAGAGTGTATTTAAGCAATCTCCTAATGTGGAAACTTTAGATAAAAGCAGTGATGAGGAACAAAACGCAACGCAACGCAACTCAACACAATGCATGGTGAAGATTTATTCGAGGGAATCAGATTCTAAACGTGGCATAACGACATGTACATTCTGGTCATCTGGAATTCTTCGCAAACTAATGGACAGTTGTGTCTTGTTTCCCCTGTTTTTCCACAAACATTTGATGCGAAAATGATTCGCAGAGATGACAAAAATGCTAACGTTATATATTTAATGAGGCAGACGACTACTGATGAGAGTATGGTTGCTTCTCCAATTTGATGGACAATCCAAACTTTGTGCATTAAATATAAAAATGGTTAAAACTGGTCCAGTTTATTTAACAGTTATAAAGTTTCTAGGTAAAACCTTATATTAATATTCTAAGCTTTTTTTTATGTAAATTGAAGAAAAAATAGTACACATTCCTGTTTTAATATTGTAAAGATATCATTCCAAAAACAAATTAAGATTGTTATTGTAGATTTATTATTAAAATAAAGTAAAATATAAGTATACTTGTTAGTTCTCAAGTATGTGTACATCTTTAATATTATGAAGGTTTGCATGGGAGATTATTTGTCCATATTTGGTGTGTAATGTTAGTATGCAAAAGTAAATCTCACAAAAGTTAATAAAATACAACCAAACTTTTAGGGATCGTGGCAATCCAACAGTCGCAATGAAAGTCAATTGGCTGCAAAAAAAAAAAAAAAAATCTAAATCTACACTATTTCAGAGCTGTGTGTGATGAATCTCTTGTACACGTATTGTGGAGTTGTGTATTACTGATGTCAGCTGGTTTCGGCATCTTTAACGATTCTGGCTTTTTTTCAGGTTTGATCTTGGGATTGGGTGCTGAAAAAAAAAATTAAATTTGATTAACCCTCTGAATGCCAAATTGTTTTCTCTTTCAAAAGTTAATTTGTTCAGTTTCTGAGCTAGAAACTTAGGCCAGACTTTTTTTTATTCCTTGTTTCTAGAGTTTATGACGACGAAAAAAAAAATTAATTCTGTTTATCCATTAGATTTGTGTGATTCTCAAAGAATTTTAAGTGAGATCATTGATCGGAGAGAGGAAATGAAATTTTATTCCATGTGTAACCTTGTTGCTCATCTGCGCAAGACTTCGGTACTTTGATCATGATACTCCCACGATAATGCAACTAGGGTTTGTTATGCGGCGGGCGGGAAAAAAAATAAAGATGAAAATAAGTTTTTTTAAGCAATTTTTGCACTCGCAAGTCGGCGGGCGAGAGAAATTACGCTGAAATAAAATTTTATTTTTATTTCAATTTCGGCTCCTGTTCATTCGGCGGGTTCGCGAAACAAGCTATAATAAAAGTCTGGCCTTAAATACCTATAACGATTTAAAATGCAGGTTATGAGAACAATTGACAACCCCACATCCCACCCCAGCCTTTATAACATGTAGCTATTGTGACAAATTTTGAATACTAATTTATACTGTTGACAAAACTTTTCATTGCCAGCCAAGTATCCTTCATGTCAACAGAGCAAGAACATATCACTAATGAATGTGTCAAAGTCGTAACAAACACTGCTACCAGTGTTGTAACTGACAGGTGATATCGGTTTTAACAAATTCCCTTGTTTTAAAGCTTGCTGCAATACTTGGATCCTATACAATTATTTGATAGAATTACCTACCATTTGGATTTTGGCCTTTGTAAAAATCCTTTAGTAAAGCGATGGCTTCCTCTGCAAAGATGCCAGATATGCACTGAAAGAACCAATACATAAAATAATTGCACGTTTAAATCCCACCTGGGGCTGAACAACAAATATAGGTGCACCCCCCCCCCCATCCCACCCCTCTAGGTGAGTGTGCCACACCACAATACCTCTTTGTGGACGGACTAAACAAGGAGACTAAAGCCTTATTCACCTGTTGGTTCAGACAGCTTTGCTGTAATATCTGTGGATTTACATATTTCAGAAATGGCATAATTGGGCAATTTACCAGATAGTTTTTGGAAAGTATTTAAAAATTCCAGTATTTCGATATATTCACCAGAATAAAAGATTTGATATTATATTATTCACACAAAATGACAACTTTGACAGTCCACTTGCCCACCTACCTGATTTTCAAAAAGAAGTTGATAATATAAATGTTCACAAAAAATGACACAAGTATTCACTTAATTAGAGAATTGTCTCAAAATTAACAAATCCGAATTAGGTAAACCAAGGCATTTACACGTTCAATATGGAAGCAATAGGCTCTTCCCATGACCCCTAAAGGTCATACATCCTGGTAATTTTGTTGGTATGACAACACAACACAAACATATTTCATGTGTCTTTTTGTACCTAACAGTAACATTTCACTCAAGTAGCTAAAAAAAAAGTCTAGAAAATCCTGCTGGAATATAAATAAAATAATTCATTGTCCATACCAACCAGGATGAGAAATAGATAATAATAAAAGTGACTTATAGCAGTTTTGAAAAGGTGGCATTTATGAAAATTTTATGATGGCTATTCCAACAATGTACAAAATAATGTACATTTTCATGTATCTAAATTATTATAAATTTGGTTATTTATTATGAAATAAAAATAAATATGAAAATATTAACACCTAATCTCACCTTGAACGGTTTTCCATGGTTGTCAATATCATCTTTATGTACATTCAACACAGAGCCACATCCCCCGAATCTCTCGTTAGAACAGCCGTACACAACAAGTGGGACATCTGACACATTTTCACTTTTAAGGATAACACAAAATTTACACTGCACCAAATTGTAGAAGTACTGTAAAGGGGTTAATTATTCACTGGGTTTTAATTTGGCTTTTTTCACTGACTGGAAAATGTGCTAAATTAAAACCCAGTGAATATGTAAAATTTAGCATAGAACACATTACCTAAATGACAAAACCGTGAATTTAAAACCTACTGAATATGCCTGAAATGGTAAATCAGTGAATTTTAAACCCAATGAATATTAGTCATTTTACAGTATGTAATTTTCGTAATTTATTGAATTTGCACCCACGTTTCTAATATTGCCAGAAATGGCTTGATTCGGTTGATTCAGATTTAACCCTTTCACAGCCTGGTGAATTTCAAAGCTTGTTGGTACTAATATTTCAAAAATTGTCTGTAACTGCCTTCTCACCCATAACTCTATTTTTCCAGTGTCCATACTCTCATTTTAATTAATATATGCCCCTCTTCAGGACACATATAGTTATCTGGAGGGGCATAACAAATTACATTGGGAGGCTGGAGTGTACAGGTTTAGTGTTTGGTGGGGTGTTCCTTAAGGAACTTCTTTCCTATTTTTAGGACACAGACACATTTGAGCAAACAAAACAGATCCTCGAGACAAAAATATCCACAGATCGAAAGGATACGAAGCAATCTGAGGGCTCCTGCACACATAATACACGGCTCCACTGTTACATACAGTACAGTCTTGGAGAAAACAGCCTCCTTAACTTGGTTAGATTTCTCACACCAACCAATAACTTCATCAATGGCGACCATTTCTGCATGTCTTGTTGCCTTGGTAATATTATATATATTCATGTTACAGTGGGTAATCAGAGGTAGGCTTAACGCTAATCCATCCTGGATGTTAAAATTATTACAATTTACACAAAAATGTGTATGATTACTTGCATTCCCAAAACGTACACAGAATTACAAGAACAGTGTATCAAAATAACAACATGCATTACAAATTTGTTGAACACATTTACAAACAAGAAATTAGTAAATAACTAATAAGGTTTGAGTTTAGAACACAGAGGTGTTACTTTTAGGTGTATTAGTGTTTAGGAGACAATGAAATGCGACATAATTGATGGCGGCAAGATATATGTTAAATATCATGCCAATGACTCCACTTGATAATGTTTCTAATTCAAATGTTGATACTTGTGGGATCTCAAAAATCTGCCCCTTGTTCTGAAAAACTGCAAATGGAATTAATAACGAACAGATCCTTCAACAAATTTAAATCAGCTTGTTCTCTCCAACACTGCATGAATCTAAAAATGGCATTCCTATCACCAGACTACCGTAAAATCTGTATTAGAAGCCGCATCCCTAATAGAAGTCGCACCCAATCTTTTTGTACAATTGAGAACCAAAAATTCATCATTTCTCATATGTGTAGATGCTCTAATAGAAGCTGCATCCCCTCTGTTGCATTGTACCATTTTAATAGAAGCCGCAGCTTCTAATACAGATTTTACAGTAAAATCTGTATTAGAAGCCGCATCCCTAATAGAAGTCGCACCCAATCTTTTTGTACAATTGAGAACCAAAAATTCATCATTTCTCATATGTGTAGATGCTCTAATAGAAGCTGCATCCCCTCTGTTGCATTGTACCATTTTAATAGAAGCCGCAGCTTCTAATACAGATTTTACAGTAAAATCTGTATTAGAAGCCGCATCCCTAATAGAAGTCGCACCCAATCTTTTTGTACAATTGAGAACCAAAAATTCATCATTTCTCATATGTGTAGATGCTCTAATAGAAGCTGCATCCCATCTGTTGCATTGTACCATTTTAATAGAAGCCGCAGCTTCTAATACAGATTTTACAGTAAAATCTGTATTAGAAGCCGCATCCCTAATAGAAGTCGCACCCAATCTTTTTGTACAATTGAGAACCAAAAATTCATCATTTCTCATATGTGTAGATGCTCTAATAGAAGCTGCATCCCCTCTGTTGCATTCTATCATTTTAATAGAAGCCGCAGCTTCTAATACAGATTTTACAGTACTAAACGAATGGCAATTCAGGAAATAAATACATATAAACAAGAATTAAGCTTAATTCATAAAATGGTTTTCTCGCAAAATTTCTTCAAAATGTGTTCAAATATGGTTTCCATAAACCAATGATAGAATGGGAATTATGCAGTTATTAATTAGTTTATTTCTATTCTCACATTTCTCGTTTCATTAACACAATTCCGTCCTTTTCCAATAACTTCATCTTTATACACCATTAAACATCCTACAGGTACTTCACCATTGAACAAAGCATCATGCGCCTGAAAAACAATATTAAGCCAATTTAGTTCAGTTTTGATCAATTATTCTCTATCGATTATAATACTGTGTATGAGGGCATAAATTTGTTTACTCAGACTAGATGTCCTTTATGATCACGAGACTTTGACAAATCTACAAATATTAGACCTAAAGTTCAGATCACACATGTGTTCCCATGGTAACATACAGAAATCTGTGCCTACTACGTAGTTATATAACGATTCAGGCCATTCTTGAGTGTACTCGGGAATGGCTGAATTACAGGATAAAATTTGTTGTGAACATTTATTAAATATTTTTAAAACATTTACCCTAGAAGACTCTCGTGCTTTATTCAAATTCAAAGAAGACGTTTCCACTCAGAAGCCAATTTGTAACAGTCATTACAACAGGTTTCTTCAGTCATTTTAAATACGTGGTAATAATTGTTGTTCAATACCATCATTTGAATTTATAAAACATTTATATTTATCTTTATTATCAAATCAATCTCTTCATGAAATGCACAGTATTTCCTTCTAGTTTGAGATATTTTTTAACATATTCTTCCGAGCAAATTCTTGTTCTAGCTGGTAGTTGTGGTTATGTCCGTGGCCCCTTTCCTTAGAGATTTTGGACTTGTTATCATTTTTATCCACGATTTTTTTATTTGGTGTACAGACGAAGCCTAGGCTAGCTGCAGTTCTGTAGCTCACGATTCCCGGTTGTGGGTCATAAGGGAACGGTCCACAGTCGTGCCATGAACCAGAGTAATGAACTAACAACTACTAGTATTAGTAAATACTAGTAGTATTATATACCTTGACTTGACCCAAACCGAAGTCGTACACATGTACGTCTACTGATTGCCGTAGTCAGGATAAATATATAACTACGTAACAGAGACCTCTTACCATGTCTAGTGATTTCTCCATCCATTTTCTGATACCCTCTTCGTCTAAACTCACGTCGTCAGCCATGCTGTTTTGTTGACAAAATGTGAATGAAAGATAAACTCTCATTGGATGTTCACCAACCGAGACGTCGCATCAACCAATCAAGATATTTCTTTCTACGCTACGTTAGGTCAATGTATACATCCGGAGTCAAAGGTCATTCATCATTCGTAAGCGGAAGAAAAAGTGTGCAATGATGTTTGAGAACGTCACGAAAGGTTAGTTAAATTTTCTGTAAATAATCTGTATAATTACCCGTCCATGTATCGTTCGTATATCAATGCAATGCAGAGGAGTGTTTGTTTTTTTTAAATTGAGGGGGCGCTGCTCAGTTGTGTGTCTGGATTGGATTCTGGGTGTTGGTTTTTTCGGGGGGGGGGGCGTGGGACAAAAAGCTCAAATTGATAAGTAAAAGTATTACAGGCGGCCATTTTTATTTTTTACATGCATCCTCTGAGAGGAGAAGCCATGTCAAGGTCATAATCGTTAAAAAACGATTTTATAAAATTGTTGGATCTACATAACATTTTTATGGCCCCTCACTCATAACTCAAATTCTAACCCTGTCCCCTCCATTGCTCCTTCCCCATATTAATTGTATATGTCCTTCTTCAGGTCATGTATAGTTATTTTGTGGGGTGTACACAATTCCATTTGAGGGGCTGCGATGCCTATTGTCTGAGGTGGCTTTTTGTATGAAATGAAACAAAATGAAGTGACTTGAACAGTGTCTTGTAAATACATTTTTTTCACACATAATACAAAAGTTTAGTTTTCAATCAGATATCTGTTTATATAATTACTATTAAAGGGCTGTGTTCGTCGTGCCACCTCCTGTTCGATATGAAACTCATAATGAACACACACGGCTTAGTCTTTTCCACGAAACGAAACAAAACGAAACCCAAACCCTAACCCTAACTCGCATTTTTTTTTTCATTGGCCCAATAATATCTGAGAAAATTTCACACTGTGAAATACGGACGTGACGATGTTTGAGGTCGTTCAAAATCTAAGGTTAGGGTTAGGGTTTCGTTTCGTTTCGTTTTGTTTTATTTTGTTTCATTTCGTTTCGTGGAAAAGACTAAGCCAACACACACTGCATGATGACTCCCCTTTAAAAATTGACATACAACATTTGCCAACAACTTTTTTATTTAGAAATTTTTTTTTATATATAAATAATCGTTATTCTATAATTACTGAAACAAGGGTTCTTCACTTAAATGTTTACAAACCAACAGCAACAGAGGATGTCAAAATAATGTGCGACATGTTGAATAGAAGATGTTGAACAGATGAAAAACTTAAACAAAATGTATGTACTGACAGGACACAGTTGATGGTGTGTGTCTAACTCATGATATAACATGATGTCACGTAAAAGATATACCCCCGAAAGAAATGTCTTATTTGAAATGGCAAAAACCAAAATCCAAAACTTTAAAAATTTGCCACCAAAGACACAATTCATAGCCTTGCTAAACAACAGTGGCCTAACACTCCCTGTAGTAAGGTACCTAAAGAAGTGTTTTGAAATAAGACAGCAACCCCAGTGACAACCTTCTTTCACTATTTAAGTTTTGCATTTTGTTTTCTATCTATCATAGTATCATAATTTTATACTTGCTATCATCTGTAATGTATTAGCTTAGCTTGTTTTTATTTTATCTATTTACTGTTTTGTAACCTTTTATTCCTTCTTAAACTTTTGTAACCATTGCCAATCCCTCCGGGGAATGTGTAAGTGTTAATAAAATTTATTAAATTATTATTATTATCAAGCAGTTCATGTGACGATCTCAAAACACACATAGTAGCAAATCAGCAACTAGTTGGCAATTCTGCATGCATTACAGATGCCAGCTTCGAAATCACCAAATCAGACAAATCAAAATCATACCAAACCCAAGCCTGAGTGTTGATTGGTACACAGATAATTGCATAAATTATCCAATTTCTATTCAATTGTGTATTCATTTTGTTATCATTTGAGTTCAGATGCAGGTGGGATCTATGCTAGATTGTTGGACCACAGACCCATAGTACAGGGAGAACTCAAGTATTTTGTCAAGGAATTTGAGGTAATAATTACTTGTATACCGTAATTATTTGCATTTCTTATATGTTAGATCATTAAATATGATTTATTTTGATCTGAGAGATTATACCCCTGTTTTATCTTCCATACTTGGTTTATAGGCTAACTAAACTTGTAGCATTTATTTCTATAACATTTGTGTTTCTTTTTTTGTATTACAATTCTATGGCTGCTTTTATACATGCAATACATTCATACGTGCAATACATTCATACATGCAATACATTCATACGTGCAATACATTCATATGTGCAATACATTCATACGTGCAATACATTCATACGTGCAATACATTCATACGTGCAATACATTCATACGTGCAATACATTCATACGTGCAATACATTCATACGTGCAATACATTCATACGTGCAATACATTCATACTTGCAATACATTCATACGTGCAATACATTCATACGTGCAATACATTCATACATGCAATACATTCATACGTGCAATACATTCATACGTGCAATATAGTAACAATCTCTAGGCGCGCATAACAAACCAGTCAGCAACTTAGCTGGCAATGTTGCTGTTTTGGTGTTCAGAACAATATGGCAATGACAGTAATTTTGATATTTGACTCTAGACCCTTTAAATACCAAAATAAACCGGTCTTCTTTTAAATTTTGAAAAAAAAATTGTCATCAAGCCATTTGACTAATGGCACAACAACAACCAATCACAATGCATTAATGGCTGCAGGGCAATAATTGACCAATGTTTGAGGAAACAGTGTAAAGACTCATGGGTGTCTTTTATAACCAATCATATTTAAAGTTAAGGAGGATCTTCTAGAGTAAATGTTTTATAAATAGGTTATGAATTTCCATAAGAAAAGCATTATGTTCCTTTTTGCTTCAAAATATAAATTATAGAAGAATACTTTTAAAATGTGTAAATTGTAACACCAGTATTTTGAAAAATATAACAAAGCGATGTCAATTGTGTAGCGCTACAAGTTCTCTATCAGTAATCTAAAAAAAAAAAGTGTCATACATAGTGCACCATCATGTAGAAATGATAGTAGAAAATACATAAGTGATTATGAGTGAGCGATTTTTATAACTGTAGCTTTTTCAACCTTTTCAGCACCAGACTTACTCACCCAAATTTGTCTGCACTTTTTTCTTATTTTCTTCAATATTTGCCAACAGGCAAAATTTAAGTAAGGTTAAGGGAGTACTGTGAGAGAACACAATTACAAACTGTTATTTTTCAGCCTTAGATTAATTAATGTTCAGAGCAGCTGATGCATTTCTTGATCGCCGAACAAAGCTTAGTAAAGTTGTTGATACTGACAAATCATTGCATGAATGAGATTGTTATGTCTGAACAAGCAGATTACCAATAATTCTCAATTCATGGTCTTTCATGTGTGTCAGTAGACACCACAGGAATTGCGAATCAGAATTCCCCATTGCATTATGAGATATGCTACTTGTATGGAACCATGTTTGTTCATGTAGGCATAGCGTGACAACTGACACTTGTTTACAATAGAGTCTATGAGATTGTTTTCCCCTGTGTGTGGTGTAAATGAAATAGACCAGATGAAACCCACCAGTCTGAGATTTGTGGGCCCGCTCTTTTATGAACCGTGTCGGGAGGTTTATTTCTGTTCCGTTCATTGAGAAACTAGAATAGGTTTGGTTTATATAGTGTTAAGTTGGTTTCTGAAGACAAAATTTCGAGTCACTGACATTGCACATCACAGGACCCCATATCAATTGTTAATGCTACAAAAATTTGTGATTTTCACTCATTTGCAAAAATTTTTCTTTATAACAAAATTAAAGCAATTTTCAGTATATAGGCCAATTAAATCACTCTTGTACATTTCATTTTGACAACTTGATTATGATGATTAGTCTAGAACAAAATTACCCTTCACAAACCTTTTAAAATGTTTATATTTTTTTTTAATATTCTCCTTATTTTCACACTCACAAACCTATTCAGTTAATATTTTTTATAAATACATATTTATGAATTTTAATCCAAACTAAAACAGTAATTATTTTTGGCCAATAAAATACCATTGCAGCATTTTCAAATCTTTTATTGATGCTCACATGACATGGGCCATTCATGTGATTGGCTCAGCTCACACATGTCTGACTAAAAAAAAATCAATCTGTGTGAAATCATTACATGTACGTACTTCACTGGGCGAATTCAATTTAAAATTAAAATTTATAAACATTTGAATCAATAAAGATAACAGGTTTGTGGTTGTGATAATATTTGAACATTTATTTAGTTTAATTCACACAAATTTTCACTGCTAAGCAAATTTATAATTTTCCTGAACTTTCATTTCAAATTTATGAAAAAAAAGGATATTGAGATATTAATGTGGCATAAATTTTTTACAAATTTGTTCATATTTATTAATCTATGTCATACTAATCCAACAGTACCTTTGTGCTGACACCTGGTACTGTGATATGTCATTATCAAGGCATGTAGTTATGATAATGGCTGCAAACAGCTGGAGAATTATATGGTGTATTATAATGCGAGCTTCCTAACCGTTTATTTCATGTGTGTTCATTTGATATCGCAAGAAGATCTTTTTGTTTCAGATTGCTAATTGATATGCACATTAAAAATAAGAAAAAATGACAAAAGCGAAATTCTACTAGTAGGCCATTCGTTTTTCCATATTTGCTCTGTTAGATGTATTTTTACGTCCTAAGTCAATGAAAATTGCCAAATTTTGTAGCAGTGAAAATTTCACCAGGGCAGCAACTTACTCTAAATTATTAAATTTCTAGTTCCCCGGTAGTGTAAATTAAGTGATTTACAGTATACCAGACTTATACTCTGTGTTTGTTCAATGCTAACCCTTCCACATGACTTGTATGTAAGTGCATATGATTCTAATGGTGATATTATGGTATGAATTCTGTTTAATCATGAAATTTCAGTACGTAAATGACAATGGATCCTTTCTACATTTAATCAAAGGCCAACTGAGGTCAGCAAGTAAATTACAGACACACACAAAGCACCCAAATATAAGGCTGTGATTCATAATTCAATAATAAAACCTTAGCTGTAATCTCTACTGTATTCACTGGGTTTTAATTTTGCTTACTTCGCTGACTGGACAATGCGCTAAATTAAAACCCAGTGGATATGTAAAATTGAGCATAGAACACATTATATAAATGATAAAACCGTGAATTTAAAACCCACTGAATATGCCTGAAATGGCAAATCAGTGAAATTTAAACCCAGTGAAAATTAGTCATTTTACTGTATATGATTATGGTATCTGGAACAGTAGACGTGACTTCTAGGAAAGAGTGGAACACAATTTGAGGTGAAAAAGCATGTCCGTCAGCTCTCTCATTCTCCACAAGATCTCAAGGGCAATTAGCATCAAAGGTTTATCATGTTATTTTATGATTTTTGAAAGCATAGATTTATTGTTTTACTCCATTTAGCCGTCATTGTTGTTGGGTTTTTTTTTTTCAGGGTAAAAGAAATGATAGAGAATATGATCGAATAAGAAAGCTATTCAATGAAGTCACGGAAGCAAATGAAAAATTCATTCCTGATAGTATTGCACTGATGGACAAGCATCTTCCAGACATTAAAGACAAACGTATGTATGCAAGTTATTACTGAAATTTCAAGAGCACTGTCAGAATCTGTTAGCCATGCATGCTCTGAACATTTTGGTCAAAGAAACAAGAAGCCCAGATATGTACAAAATGTTAGGGATGTCAAAATAGGGCAGAATAGATTACAGTATAGGATGGAAGATGGAGAATGATTCAGAAAGGAATTATGAGAAGGATAGAATGATAATATAGAGTAGTGATGGCACTTGTGAAGTCTATCATAGTATAAAGAGGAACATTCAGAAAGAGGGTATGTAGCGGGCTCTTTGACAAATGGATCTTGTCGCCTAGGAAATAAGCATATCAGACTACATGTACTTTGATCGTTGTGATATTGTATATGGTATTACAATTATCGCAACACCAACCAGGTTTAAATGTAAACCCCGTATGTAGTATCATAATAGTAAGCATTTAAGAGCTTGGTATATGGAGAAGATGTTGGAAATGGTTACATTAATATACAGGATCATAAAAATGTAACTTATAGTGACACACCTCTGTCATTATGTATATACATGTACATGTAAGTACATGAATTACAAATGCCGTATTTGTTCTATCAGTAGCACATATGCTTATGTAAATTACAGAGGTGTTTCAATGTTCAGAGTATTATGTACATCGAATGCAATTTTAGGTTTATGAAAATTTAATATAGTTTGGCATATTGAAGTAGTGATTTGTAGCTGGAATTGTTCAAATCTGTACATGTAAAACAAAACATCAAAGTCAAAATCCTTCAAATAAAAGTCATAGAAACCTGGATTCCAACTCAGTATGCTATTAATAATGTCTTATTTTGCAGTGAGTATTGCCAACAGAATGTGCTCCAGGATGTGTGTCAGAGAAGAACAGAGAATGGCGGTAAGTCACATATTTTTATTCCCTTGGACAAATAATGTGTTTATGTCTGTCTTTGCATTGGTATTTCAGTAAACACTGATTTGATGGATTTGATGCATGTTTACTATTATGACAATACAAGATCTGCATATTAATTAGGTGATTTGCATATTAATGTGCTAGCTTTTTTTTGCATTGTATCTAAACGTACTAGTGTTCGATTTATAATGAATTTTAAAACACGATATGTTCAAGCAGTGAAAGTGCTGATATGTGTTTGACAAATTAATATATGATTATCTTTTGGTACACAATCATATTAATTATGCATATTAATCAAGTGATTTGCATATTAATGAGCTGGCTTTATTTTTGCTTCAATTGCATCTAAACAGACTAGTGTTTGAATACATAATATTATATTCAAGCAGTGCAAATACTCGTGTGTTTGACAAGTACAATATATGATTATCTTTTGGTACACAATCATATTAATTATGCATATTAATCAAGTGATTTGCATATTAATGAGCTGGCTTTATTTTTGCTTCAATTGCATCTAAACAGACTAGTGTTTGAATACATAATATTATATTCAAGCAGTGCAAATACTCATGTGTTTGACAAGTACAATATATGATTATCTTTTGGTACACAATCATATTAATTACTGTGGAATACTTTATTTTCGCTGGAATTAATTTTCGCTGAAAAGGCTTTTTGGGCGTTTTGTATGGAATTTATTTTCACTGATTTTTGATGAGTTTAATGTTAAATATAGGAAAAAAAGTATATTCGCTGGATTTTATTTTCATGTAATCATCCCTTCAGCGAAAATAGCGAAAATAAATTCCAAGCGAAAATAAAGTATTCTACAGTATGCATATTAATTAAGTGATTTGCATATTATGTAGCGAGCTTTATTTTGCTTCAATTGCATCAAAGCAGACTAGTGTTTGAATTCATAATATTATATTCAAGCAGTGCAAATACTCGTGTGTTTGACAAGTACAATATATGATTATCTTTTGGTACACAATCATATTAATTATGCATATTAATTAAGTGATTTGCATATTAATGAGCTGGCTTTATTTTGCTTCAATTGCATCTAAACAGACAAGTGTTTGAATACATAATATTATATTCAAGCAGTGCAAATACTCATGTGTATTTGACAAGTACAATATATGATTGTCTTTTGGTACACAATCATATTATTTGTGCATATTAATTAAGCGATTTACATATTAATGAGCTGGCTTCTCCATGTTTGTATGTAAACAAATTAATGCTGAAATCAAATATACTTTGAGCAGTGTATGTACTCCTTTGTATTTTACAGAAGGACCCGTTAAAAACCAAAAGAGACACAAGGCAGGAAGAGTGGTCTGAGTTCATCAAAAAACAAGGCGAAAAAAGCGCTGCTGTTGATAAGGAACATGAGAAAAGAATGAAAGAAATAGAAGAAGAATATAAAGAAATGGGACAAGCCTTGATAAAAGCATCTCAGCCTTCCCAGCACTGAGTTTGCATCCTCCTCGAACTAAAAACAAAATTCTTGTGATATTCACGAACATATGGTGAATATTTGTAAGCATAGTTCCAATGTAGAATTTCTTTCAAACTGCACATCATGGACAAATAATGGTCACATATGCATGTACATTTACTGTACACGCAACTGCATACAAAAAGTGACTATGCACTGTAAAGGAAGCAATAGATATTTTAAAATCGAAAAGATCAGAGTTCAATTTGAACTAGCGCACCATATTTAAACCTAGTTCAAGATATCCAAAACAGTGATTTAACGATTTCACTATCAATACATTGCCTGCTGAAAGTTTGAAAGTTTTTCGAGATTCTAAGCAATATGGCTGACCAGCAACCATTTTGTTTTCATCTTTTTTTGCACATTTCTGCTTATATCTCAAATTCACACTGTCCAAACTTGGTGTTCTAGCACATCAAAGAAAGTTTTTTATGTCAAAATCCAAATCAAGATGCATTGCCTGCTGAAAGTCTCCATAGATAGCGTGAAATGAAAAAAACACAGCATCAACAGATAATAACAGATCAGGAAAAGGGACGAATTGTGTTTGCCATGCAAGTCGATGGAGCAACCATCATGTGCACTTTGAGATAACGAGCATTGTACACCAGATCAAGAAATTCATGTCTTAAACAATTGCTGTTTCAAGACAAGCCTATAAAAAGACTGAGCCAAGACTAATCATCAAATGAAAATACAGTGATGCCACTCTGAACCAGTGAACTGAGAATATTGTTTATGGATTTAATGTAGCCGAGATATTCTTTATAATTAAAATTTACTGCTTTGTGAAAGACACAGTACATTGCATATTGGCACACATGCATAAGAACAAGATTGTTGGTAAGATTTATCACAATGCAATGCCATGCACACACATCCACAGAATAAAATCTTGACTGTTGCAGATCAGAGTGTGAAAAAAAAGAAATGACACATGGGTTTATTTATGATAATTATGCTTTTTGTTTCCTAACCACCAAGAGCCCTGTATCCATTTCACCCAGATTAAAACTTTTACATCTATTGGCTGTCATATTGAATTGTTTGTAGAGCGTAGTAGGGCCTGAGAAAATCAATATAGCTTATGCATCGTGCAATGACCTCTGCCCTTTACATTTGAATGCTCACTGAGTTTTCATCACATTTATAGTTATTGGCTAATAAAGTGAAAATGAAATGCAGCGAATAATTAAAATGATTTTTAGTCCTCGTTCGGATGCAGTCCGAAAACGGGGACTTATGTTTTGACCTCCGTGCTTCTGTACGTCCGTCGGTGCGTCTGGACCTGTATCACACATACATGATACATGATATTATATATATATACACATCAATTTGTTTCACGATCTGATTCAAGATGGCCGTATGGCGGCCATTTTTGTTCAAGCATTTCTTGGCTGTTTACAGATGGATTTTGTTCAAACTTTGTATATACAATGGATATTATAGGACCTTGATGCAGATCATTTTGTTTTTCGGATAAAATTCAAAATGGCCGACTGGTGGCCATTTTGTTTTAATGAATGGGGTTCTAGTGCCATATTTCTGACTTGCTGTGACGGATTATGTTCAAATTTTAAATATTCATTATACATCATTTCATAGATATACAGATACATTGGTTTGACGATCCTATTAAAAATATCCGAATGATGGCCATTTTTGTGCTAAAAAAATCATCAAATATCAAGCATTTCTGGATGGATTTTGTTCAAACTTGGTACATACATTAGACATTACGGGTTCCTGATGCACATTATTTTATTTTTTAGATCGGATTCAGAATGGCTGATTAGTGGCCATTTTGTTTTAATGAATGGGCTTCTAGAGCCATGTCTCGGACATGCTTTGACTGACCATGTTCAAATTTTATATATTCATTATACATGTATTCAAAATGGCTGCTTTTGTTTTAATTAATGCTGTTTCAGAGCAATATCAGATACAAATGTCAATCATTTAAATGTTAAACAATCATCATAATCATATTCCTGATATGCTTTTCAGTAAACATGGTTTGGTTTGATTTAATAAGAGTACAACAAAGCTGTTATTGTTGTTTAATTGACTATTTTGGGCTCTTGGTCAAATAAGAGTCTTACCAGACCTCAGCCCCAAAACATTTGGTTAATCAAATATAGTGGCCGACTAAGATTGCTCAAATTTATACAGTGAATTTAGAAAGTTGGGAAGTTTTATGTGTTTTTTCTGCAGCTCCATCGGGGGTTGTGTTTGTCATGGATGTACGTGTGTTACATAACCCCTCTTTTGTATGGGCCAATGACTTGTAAATATCACTCCTGACATTGTATTGTATTAAAATTTGGGGGTGGGTGTTTTCCCGGGCATGGGTGCTTACCTGGATAAATACAGTATACTAAAATGTACATACTGCATTCACATACACAGCTTGTCGATCTGAAATCACTCGTTTCTACTAATCTGCAATCTTCTAATTTTTAAATAGTGAGGGATCATGTGAGAATAACCTCGTTCTGAAAAACAGCAGTGTTCCTGTGTTACTGAAGTAAACGGGCAATGTTGAAAAAGAAACTAGTAACTGTTTGGAACAAAGAAAGTGTACCGGTACTTTCAATAAATGCTGTCAAAGAATGCTGACTGAAAACTGCCCTCTATCGAATGGTAGTGTACTGTTGAAACCAGTGACAAACCAAAATGTCATATTACTGTATATATTTTAACCCCAGACTGGACACAGTTTGGGGGTTTATGGATTGGGTTCTGTCTATCTGTCAAATTATCTTAGAAGTTCATGGACCGATTTTCACCAAACTTGGAACATACAGGTTTTTTTTTTTCTTTGTTCAGATACAAAATGGCTGACTGGTAGCAATTTTATATGTGTAGAGCATTATCTCCAAGTAGTGCTGGTCAATTCTGTTCATTCTTAGAAATATGGGCAACCAACAGGTGACACATCAAAATTGGTGGATTGATTTGTGGCCATTTTGTTTGTCAAAAATACTAAGTTTTCCTTATAACTTACAATTACTAAATTATATTCAAATTTGGTACAGAGGCAGTATATAATTAAACGAAGATGCAAGTTGATTTTTTTCGAGATTCTAAACAATATGGCTGACCGGCAACTGTCAGCCATTTTGTTTGACGAAAATCAGCAATTTTCGCCTGTTTTGGCTTATATCTTAAACTTGTTGAAGTAAAATTACCAAAATGTACTGAAACCACACTGCTTGGTGTTCATTATTAGATACATTCACAAAACGTAGTGGGTAGACTCGTGGTAGAATGGCTTAAAATTTCACAGTCCTGATAGTTAAAGTTACAAAACTGTGTATACCAGTATTCAGAAATGCTACTTATAACAATGACACTCGCATCGAATTTGACAGATGTGCAAAGTAATTGTAATCAATTTAGCACACTGTAAATTGCTAAGTTGAGTTTTTGATTTCAGTGAAATATGTCAAAATAAAGAAATGACCCTACAAGACTTCAATTTCATACATTGCGTAGAATAAATACCAACCAAGATGCATCTTGATGACCGACAACCTAAGGTCAATTTGTTTTCCAAAAACTTGGCCAAATGCATTTTTTAAATTTCTAAAATCTATATTAAAACATTTTTTTTGGGGTCATGAATGCATTATTTAAACATTCTGAGGTCCCAAATAAAGAGCTAGCTTAAGAGTAACCCATATTATGCATTGTCCAACAGTAATCCCTCGCACATCAGCTATCAGCAAAGATTTTGGTTGGTCCAAGTCTTTGTCAAATGAATGTGAATCATCTGTTTATACCTCCATGGTTGAAAGTAGATTTAAAATGCCGCCCTCTAGTGGCAACCTTGTGTGAAGGTTTGGTTGGATGGTGTTCTATTTGATCGCGGGCAAAAAAACGAAAGTGGTCAGTTCCTGTCCACTGTTAAATAAAAAAAAAACATTTTTGTTAACACCCCCTCAAGCACACAGGAACACTGCTGGGGCTTCCAGATTTGTAATTTATTGGGAAGCTTCATCTATGTATCCGAGTAATTAATACATTTCTTTTTTTACAATTAGGAAAACTAAAAATGTGTGAAAATTTGCATTTTTCAATGCTATTTAAAAGTAATAATGTAACAAACCATTATATTGCTTTTCAAAACAAGTTTTTTTTTATTGCAGCATGGACACATGATAAGAATACCAGTAACACATGGAAGAACAACACTGCATAACACATATCCAGTAATAACCTCTACATTATTTGAAATGGAAACATACAGTAATTAAAAAAAAGGTTAATACAATAGAGATATATACCAGTTATCTAGCATAAGAATGCTACTTATAAAAAAAATAAAAAGTCTGTCTATTCGTACAATTGGACGTACTAATCAAAACAAACTTGGAAGATGTCCCTTTATATTTTAACCCATTGAAATATAAAATAATGCTTTACAGGTTTTTTTTTTTGAGCGATTCGTTAAATTTAATTTTCAATTGGTATACAAGGCATATATCATAAAATATAGAGTTGTTTCTGCTGCCTTTTTATTTGAAGCCAACTAAATAAATTGTTGAATGGTCATCATTCATATTCCAGTCATTGCATTTGTATTGCATATTTATTGCGCACCCTATTTTAGCAATACGCCTTACGAGCACGGTGAAGTTTATAAATATGCAGTGCGAATAAATAATAGATCACTTTGTCATAAATATTTGGAATTGACGCCAGGATATTAATAAATCTCCCCGTGAAGCAGCCAGTTGATAATTTTGTGCAACACTTTCATTACAAATATCGATATCCCACACAAAAATGTGGTGTTAATTAAAAAGATCACTTTAGTTTTAATTGTATGGCAAAATAATTTCCCTGCCTTAAAAAATGACATTAGGAATCAATCAGGAAATTATGGTAAATTCAGTCTTGTAATGATTAAATAAGCATAACTTTTGCAGTGATATTATCTTAGAAACTAAAACAGGTGAACTCATTGCAAATAATGAGAATTACATAGAAAAATAGGGGCCCCCCAGTCCTAACCTATCAACAATAGTACCACAAATTAGTCGTGTTATAGGGAGCATGATTTCTTTTTTTTTAATCACACCAGACTTACATTTAGTACACATTTCAAAACTATGCTAAGCTAAGAATAATATACATATATATATACACGATTAAAAAAAAATGGAAGAAAAATTATGATTACCATGGAGTACAGTCAAGACAAGCGAAGACAGTCTGAGTTTACAACTTATGAGAATACAAAATGCAAGTAACCCATCATAAAAAAAACAATTTCTTATCTTGG